ACTTTTACATTTTTTTAATTTTCTTTGAGACTTTCTCTATGGCCCATCCATTATTGTGAAGTTATTATTTTTTTAAATTTCCAAATGTTTTAGAGATTTTCCTCTTGTCTATATGTTATTGGTTTCTATTTTGATTCCATTGTCAGGGAACGTACTCCATATGATTTCATTTCTTTTGTTGAGGTTTGTTTGATGACCCAAGATATGGACTATCTGAGTGAATATTCCATGTGTTTATAGAAAGAATGTGTATATTGCTATTGTTACATGGAGCATTCCATAAATGTTAATTAGATTTTCTGGGTTATGATATTGTTCAATTCTTCTAACTTTTGCTGATTTTTCTATCAATTGCTGAGAGTGAGTTGTTAAAGTCTCCAACTATAATTGTGGATTTTTCTATTTCTCCTTTCACATATCAATTTTTGCCTCATGTGAATGAAAGCTCTATTTTCAGTTTCTTTTAGATAATATATAGTTGGGTCATGCTTTTAAAACCATTTTGCCAATATCTACTAGCAATAGCTTCTCCTAATTTTCTTCACCTGAGAATCTCTTTATTTCTCATTCATTCTTAAAAAAAATATTTTCATTGGCTATAGAATTCATAATTCGTAATTCATTTCTTTCAGCACAGGAAAAATGTGTCATTTCCATCTGTTCTCCATGGTTTCAAATGAGAAATCTGCTGTCATTCAAAATGTTATGTCTTTATAGATAATGTGTCATTTTTCTCTTGGCTGCTTTCAACAGTTTTCCTTTTTATTTAGATTTTTAATTTTCTTTGTATCTAGATTTTTTTCCCCCAGAATTTTACCTGTGATATATGTGTTTCGGTATTGATTTATTTGCATCTATCATGGTTGGGGTTTCTTAAATTCGTAGATTTATGTCTTTAACCAGACTTGAGAAGTTTTTAGTCATCATTAATTTTTTGAATATTTTTGCAACCTCACACTATTTATGGGACTTCAATAATGTGAATATTATTGACACACAAATCTCTGAGGTTGGGTTTGATGTTTGTTGTTGTTGTTGATGTTGTTGTTGTTGTATTTGGTTGTCAATTTTCTGTTTTTCAAATTGGGCAATATCTAGTACTTTATCATTTAGTCCATTGGTCTTTTCTTTTGGCATATGTATTACATGATTGAGCACATTTAATGACATGAAAAAAGTTTTTTTCAGTGTTTTTAAGTTCTACAATTTCCATTTGGTTCTTTTATATAGCCTTGATTTTTTGTGAGATTAAAAACTATTTTTATTTGTTTCAAGAGTATTCATAATTGTTCATTAAAACATTTTGTTGTGGCTACTTTGAGATCCTTATTGAATAATTTCAACATCTGCGTCATAATACTGACATCTGTTGTTCGTCTTTCCTCATTCAAGTTATAATTTTCTCTGTTCTCAGTATGATGAGTGGTTTTCCATTGTGTAATGAACGTCATGTATAGATGTCAGGAGACTCTATCCTATTTAAACCTTCTATTTTAGTAGATAGTGACACTATTTAGGTTTATTACATAGATTCTGGCTCACTATTGTAGGCTGTGGTTTGAATAACAATTTAGTTTTCAGAACTCTGACTGTGCTATTCTGGTCTGGTTTGTTCACCTGATGCTATCAGTATTCTTGTTTGCTCCCTACTGGTGCTGCCAGCAGCGGGAGACACCTCTCTAGATGGCCGGTGCTACTAGGGCAGGGATGGGAAACATCAAGTCCACAGGGCAAAGACCAATTCCCTGGGCCTGCTCACCAGAAGCTCTGTGATAGGGGCAGTGATAGGGGCAGTGCTCCTGCTTTATCTCTACTAGTGTTACAGCAGGAGAGAAGTTAATGCACCAAGACACCTTCTGCCACTGATGGAAGAATTAGGAGATAGCGGGCCTGGGAATCAAGAGTTTGTGTGCAGCTTTTATCTTCACTGAGATCTTTTGAATCGAAATTTTTTTTTTAATGAATGAATGAATGAATTATTTTTTTAATTGAAGAAATGTTTTTAATTTCCCCCTATCTACCCTTCCCTCTTCCCCCTCCCTCTCCCCTCTGTTTAACTGAAATTTTATTTTCCTCTGGAGCCATATTTTCATTGCAAGTCAGACCACAGAACTGTCAAATTTTTGAAAACCACTTCCTTAAAATCTTCACTGAGATTCATCATAGTTTACTTTAGGGAAGCTCATTTTTGTTCATCTGAGGTTTTCTTCATTCTCCCCTCTCAAGCAATAATTCCTAATGGTCAAATCCAATCCAGAGTAGATATTTCTTTGCAGTTTCTTCTACCCTCTAAGAGACGATCAGAATAGAGGGCAAAGAGTTTATCAGATTCTCCATTTTATACAGGGTGAGTTAAATAATGCCCACAGATTAAAAACTCCCAGATTCTAAACTATCTTGCCTGTATGCCAGGTGATTGTTCTGACTTAAAAAAAGAATTCTGGGCTTCAGTGGACATCCATGAACTACTCCTACCATACTACCATGTCTGTTTTCCTCTCGTTATTTTTACTCAAATGCCTTCCACCATGTTCCTACCATCTAGTTTGAACATATTTATATCTTCCATGTTGGTCCTCATACCTACCTCTGACCTCTATAGTACACATGTCTCTGAAGCACAGTTTATCTTTCATTTCCATCTCATGTTATGTTTTTATCAAATTTAATTCTGTCTATGAGATTGTATTCACCATCCACTATCTTCTCTAAAATGTAAGGCTTCCCTTGTATGTTACTCATCCTCATCATGATGGTTGGTTGTATGGATACCTGAGGTCCTAACTTTCATTCCCAATGTTTTTCCAACACTTTTACACTGGCAGAGTCCAACTTCACACATGCTCAGCATCTAAACATCTTCAGCCACTTATTCATCCCTTCATCTATTCAGCCATCATTTTTCCAACACATGCTGGTACTGGAATATAGACCAAGAAGCTTCCAGGCCATTTGGGAAAACTGAGACATAAAGAGACACAGTTCAGGTCGATCAGTGCCATGACAGGTAGAAATACAGAGTGAAGTGAGAAAGCAGAGCAGGGTCTTATGCAGCCCAGGGGAACCAGAAAATGTATCTTGGAGTAGGAGAAGCTCCATGGTGCTCCCAAAAGATGAGTAGGATGAGTCATGCCAAAAGGAGGAGGGAGAGATCTATATTCAGAAAAGATACATTGCCTAAAGCAGGAAAGAGGTAAACAAGTGATCTGGCCTGATTGGCTTCACTGTGGGTCAGGGTATATGTGGAGATGTGACAGGAGGTGCAGCCATAGGAGAGCTGGAGTCAGGAGGGCTTCTTATACAGCTAGGGAGCTGTTTGTCTTGAGGGCAGTGAACAGCCCTGAAGGGCTGAGGTAGGGGAGTGACTTGACCAGGTTGTGCATTAGAAAGCTCATTCAGGTGGCTGTGTGGGTCTCTATTTGGCAGGTATGGTGGAAGAACACTCTGTGCTAGATTGAGCATAAACAAGTGCCACTAACTAAAAATCTACCCAATAAAAAACCCTACTCTTTTTGGTGCTGCCAGAGCCATCTCTGGACCACTGTGTAGTAGATGCATGGGCAGGGAATCCATTCTGGAAAGAATGTCAGTGGGATAGCACCGGTCCCACACGTGATGGAAAAAGACCTAAGCTCATAAACCTCTATTGCAATAGTCAACTGAAAACCCACCCTCACTTACCCCTAAGCAAAATGGTGCTCACAATGCATCCTCTGTCCCTTGGGTTGTTCACTTCTGATCTCTTTTCCTCTCAGGGCTGCCCTGGAGCTTATTTCAACTGCATTTTCCCAGGGGCAGCAGTTAATGCAGGCTAGTGAGGTGAGCTCAGGCCTGGGAGTTCGATGGCCCTAGGCCCACTGTATCACCTTTTCAAGCCCCAAGCCTGTCCTTTATAAAGGGGGGTGATCACACCTACCTTGCAGGATTGCTGGAAGCATTAGAGATAACGTTGGTCAATGCCTGGAGCAGGGTAGGTGCTCAATAATGAGAGTGGTGGGAACTGCAGGACCTTCTGCAGGCCAGGTCCCTGCCTTTGGATGTCTCCAAACAGGGAAACAGCTGGTGTGGGGGACAGACTGGAGTGGAACTATTGCAGCCTCTTTTGTAACACCCCAAACTGGAAACAACTCATCAACAGAGAAATATTTGTGTGAATTGTGGCTTTTGTCTGTAAGGACTATTAGACTGCTATGGAAAAGAATCGTTAAATCTTTTTCCACAAAGAAAACTGGAGAAATGTCCATGAAAAATCATTCATTGTGAAAGTAAGGTGCTGTATTATATGTAATATGACATTATTTATGCAAAATTAAAAGGAAAAACAAGTCAACCCAGTACTATATGAGTACTAAGTTTCTGAGAGCAAAGGAGATGGAAGGAAGGCCGTACCCCAAAATGCCAAGCAAATGTTCCTCCTAGGTTAGGATCTCAGGGGGTTGAGGGAAGATCATTAACTCTTGTAATGTTCTCTATATTGTTTAATTATATTAAGCATGTTTTACTATTATAATTTAAAAATCTGAAGACAAAGTAAACAAAGACTTGGACATGAATTCCAGATCTGTGTCTTGTAACCTAAAAGGTTTTTCAATTTCTCCAAACCCTTCTCCTTGTTTATAAAATGAGAACACTCATCCTCTTAGAGTTTTGAAACAAACACATCGATTTACTAACCATCTACTGAGAGCCCCCTATGGTGAGGCACTGTGCCGTGGCTTTGGCAGTGACATCTGCATTAAGAACCACACCCTCCCAACTATGATATGTGGCACAATTGTTTGTTTGCCTGGCCACACAAATGAATGAGCCACAATGACACTTCTTGCTCTGTGGCAAGATGGATGATTGGAGGAAGATTTAGTGGTAGCGAGCTTTTGGTATCTTCTCCACTTGACTTCGCAGGGCGTCCTTTGCCCACACAGAGGGGATTCCTGCCCAGGTTGAGGCCCCCTTCTCCCTATCTTTGACAGTAGCCACCTTCTATCTGCATTGTATTTCAGATACAGAGCCCAAGAAGAGAAATGGGGTGAAGTGCTTCATGGTCATGGTGGTCATCTACCTGATTCTGCTCTCCATAGGCGCTGGGTTGCTGGTGATGGAAGGTAAAGCAGTCTTGGCCCTGTCTGGTCCCTCTGGGGGTGACTGAACATGGCCCTGAATGACACAGGGCTCAGATTGAATGGAGAGCCCTGGGGCCACGGCTGCCTACCTGCTGGGAGGGAGTTCTCAGTCCCCCGGTGGCCACAGTGATGGGGGTAGGAAGGGGAAGTGGAGAGGGAAGTGTGGGTTGGTTGCATGCATGCATGTGTATGTGTGTGTTTGTGTGTGTGTGTGTGTGTGTGTGTGTGTGTGTGAGAGAGAGAGAGAGAGAGAGAGAGAGAGAGAGAATGCATATGTGAGCCTATGTGTATCTAAAGCATTATTTCACATGAGTATGCCATGAGCATCTTACTTACATCAAAGGTTTTCAGCCTCTGAATGGGAAGGGGAATTGTTGATCAGAGTGTTCATTTTAACATGACTTTACTTTTCAAAGTGTTCCCAGTCCAAATGTGAAGGTCATGAAGCAATTCTATCAGCAGACACCGAAGTCACTCAAGAATATGTGCCCAGCTGACATAAACATATGTCAAATGCTTATTAAGGTCACATGTGAATAAGTCAGACCAGCACATTAGTTGTCATGCATTCATGCCCAGAGCATGCACAGTCTTAACTGTATGAAAGTTGATGTTTGATTGTGACACAGTGGGTACATCTCTAGGCCACGCAGGAATATTCTGTGGATGTGTAATGTTATGCCTGAGTGTGAAGTGCACATGTGCAAGATATAGGAAGAGCTCTGTACTCACACTAGGTCCTCACAGCATATGAGCTGTATTTATATATTCAGGACCCATAGAAGTTATGTACATTTGACACAAAAATGTCATGATGTACTCAAATGCATTTGGCTTTAATGAGGTCCCTAAAAGGATGTTTTGGGTGGGCTGGGGTGTCCAGTTCGGATTCTGCAGAAGCGGCTCTGGGTCCTAGAGATTCACTTTGAAAATGAGACACTGGCCTCCGAGGATCATCCATCCTACTCCTTACTCTGGTCAGAGTACCTCCCTCACTCGGCTGCAGATGCACCAAGGCTGCAAGTCCTGCAGGCCCAGTTGATCCAGGTCCACAACAGGCAGAAGCGCCTGCTGCAGCAGGTGGACAACTTCACTAAGAACCAAGGTTTGGCCACCTTGCCTTGGATTGGGGCTCCTCAGAGGAGGATGGGAGAGAGAGAGCTGCTTGTTTAGGGGCAAGGGGATCTTTGGGCCCAAATCTCCTTCTTGGGCAAGGGGGGACTTCCAAAACCCTGGCCCAGTATGGGACCGTGGGGCCAAGACACAGGGCATGAGCCATGTGGGGTGGGCATGAAGTTACATGTCCCATGGGTGCCACAGATAGGGCTCTGTCCAAGCCGAGGGGGAAGTGGAGAGGGAAGTGTGGGTTGCATGCATTCATGTGTATGTGACCTCAAGAGCCAGGAACTGGAGCAACGAGCCCAAGGCCAGGTCTGAGACACAAAGCTCTCAGATTGATCCAGAATGTTTAGGAGAATGGGTAAGATGCAGAACCTGGGGCAACTCCCAGGAACATGACCATGCAGCCAACTAACATTAGCCTATGACTAGGAGAGAATCATGATGAGCACCAAGCTAGTTCAGGAGATGCAAGAGTTGTGAGAGGACCTGATGGGAAAATGTAGTGGCTTAGATGGTACGGCTGCAAGCAGAAGAAAATGGAGCCAAAGGTGAAGACACCAGGGTTCCTCCTTCTCTTGATCCCCTCTGGGTCTTGTACCCACCACTCTCAGGCTGTCCTAGACAAGAATGCTAATTTGAGCAAAACCAGCTCCTAGGTGTGACCTGACTGTTGCAGGGTTCGCATTGTTATATGGAGCCTGGGGTTCTTGCTCTGACCCCTGTGTCTGGGGTGAGCTGAGGCTTAGAAGAATGAGCTTATAGCCAGGGTGCTGTGCCCACTGAAGCACATGCTGGACGCAGGTTCCAAGAGGGCAGATCCCACCAGAGGCTGACGCCTCCCCAGTGAGCGCAGATGAAGGCCAAGTCTGGATTCAAAGAGAGGGGAGAGTGTGGCAGATAGGCAGAGTCCAGGCTCAGACAGTTAGACACTGTGAGTGTTACTCTTTCCTCTGAGAGGTGAGGGAGCTGGTTTTGATTAACATGAGAGCCCTTCCTTTAATCTGAGGTACTTGCCCAGCTGATTTGGTTTCATAGTCTTCTGACATTGTGAAGTGCTGTCCAGGGTCTCAATCCCCTTTTCACACTTCTAGGGCTCCCAGGGATCTACGACTCTTGGATATAGATGACTAGTTACATCTAAACATCTGGCTCTTTCCTAAAATATTCCAAGGTGTTTGGCTCCCATTGTCCAATTTCATCCTGGAGGAACTGCCTCTCTGGGCCAAGCTGGGAGCTCTGGGTGTGTGCCACTAGCTCAGCCTACATACCCTCTCTCCTTCCCTTGCAGAGCTGTTCCAGATCAGAGGCGAACGCGGTGCTCCAGGTGGGTTCATTTCCATGATGACTTATGCTGTCTTTCCTACAATCTTCTCCCATGGGCCCTTATTCAGGTCACACAGGGGTCAGGGACACTTAGCTATCAAATCCTGAACTGAGTCTCAACAGTGACCTTTTCTGAGACCTCGTGCTGAAGTAAGGGGTTCCAGTACCCAGTTCTATTTCCATCAGTCTGGTCCCCATTCTTGTGTATATAAAGACAGCAATTCTATTCTGAAATACAGTTAGCCCTCCGTGTCCGCAGTTCTGCATCCACAGATCCAGCCAACCGTGGATCAAAAATATTTTTTAAAAAATTTCAAAAAGTTGATTCTTAAACAATACAGTATAACAGCTATCTACATAACATTTACATTATGTTAGGTATTACAGGTAGTCTAGCCAAGGGGGAAGTGGAGAGGGAAGTGTGATTTAAAGTATACTGGAGGATGTGTATAGGTTATATTCAAAGTGCTATGCCATTTTATATAAGGGACTTAAGCATCCTTGGATTTTGGTATCCATGGAGTCCTGGAACCAATCTTCATCAGACACTGAGGAATGACTATAGAAAGCTTCTCCACCTGATACCCTGGCACAGGTGCAGGTGTTGCCACTAGGAGACCCAGAATCTGTTGGCCTCTCTCCAAATGTGTCACCTCAGGCAAGGCCTATGCCTCTCAGAAAGTCACTTTTCTCCATGCTGATGTGAGGAGATGCTATGGTCTGAATGTTTGTGTCCCCCCTGACCCCAATTCATATGTCGAACTCCTAACTCCCAAGGTTATGGTATTAGGAGGTAGGGCCTGTGGAAGATGAGTAGGCCTTGAGAGTGGAGCCCTAATTAATGGGATTTGTGCTCCTGTAAAAGAGACCACACACCCACAAAACCCAACCAAAATAGAAAAAAATAAATAAAAACACACACAAGGACAAAGAATCAATGGAAACACCGAGCTACCAGAAGCAAAAGATAAAATGATTATAGGAAAACCTCATATTTCAATAATCACCCTAAATGTAAATGGACTGAATTCACCAATAAAAAGGCATAGGGTTGCAGATTGATCAAAAAACAAAACCCAACCTTATGCTGCCTCCAGGAGACACATCTCAGTTCCAAAGACAAATATAGACTCAAAATGAAAGGGTGGAAAATGATATTTCAAGCAATGGCATTCAGAGAAAAAAGGTACTAATATAGGATGAAATAGACTTCAAAATAAAAAAGGTAAAGATACTGAAGGACGCTTCATAATGATAAAGGGAATCATGCACCAAGAAGACATAACACTTATTAATATCTATGCTCTCAATCAGGGAGCCCCGAAATATGTAAATTACTAACAGAACTAAAGGGAGAAACAAACCAAAACACTAACATAGTAGGAGACCTAAATACCCCATATCAGATATGGACAGTGCATCCAAACAGAAAATCAATAAGGAAATAACATCCTTAAATGACACATTAGACCAACTGGACATAATTGACATTTACAGAGCCCTTCATCTCAAAACAGCTGCTTATACATTCTTCTCTAGTGCACATGGAACATTCTCAAGGATTGACCACACGAGATAGCCTCAACAAGTATAAGAGGGTCGAAATCATACCAACCATATTCTCTGATCATAATGCTTTGAAACTAGAGATCAACTGCAAAAAGAAAGCAGGAAGAACCACAAATACATGGAGATTAAACAACATACTACTGAAGAATAACTGAGTCACTGAAGAAATAAAAAGAGAGATCAAGAGATACATAGAAACGAATGATAATGATAGTACAACATATCAAAACTTTTGGGACATGACAAAAGTGGCCATAAGAGGGAATCCGTTCATATCATTACAGGCCTCTCTCCAAAAACAAGAATGAACCCAAATCAACAACCTAACGCTTCATCTTAAAAAACTAGAAAAGGAAAAACAAATGAGGCCTAATGTCAGCAGAAGGAAAGAAATAATCAAAATTAGAGCAGAAATAAATGAAATTGAAAACGAAAAAAAGATAGAAAAAATAAATGCATCAAAGAGCTGGTTCTTTGAGAAGGTTAATAAAATTGACAACCCCCTGGCTAGACTCACTAAAGAAAAAAAGA